CCTCTAGAAGGCAAGGAGCTGTTTTGTTTTTTTTGCGTATCACATGTCTCGGAGCTGGCCACTTATCACGACGACTATCATTGTGCGTGCGCCGTTTTGAGCAAGGTCGACAGTTGCCTGGAAAATGTTTTGTCTGAGACGGGTTGACTCCTGTTGACACTCTCATTCGACGTGCAGATGGGTCCTTACTTCCAGAATTAGCTAATGATCAGCACTGACTTCACAGTAGTGAGCAGTGATATAACGCAGTATTGGTCGCTTGTCTCGTCTCTCCCTTTTGAACCACAGTTCCAGCAGCCGATAGAGTCGCTTCAGATCCGAGCGCTTGACCTCGCCTCAATAGTGATGTCAGAGTTTATTAGGTCGAGCAAGTAAAGCATAGCAGTTGACCAGACCTTGATAACGGACGGACTGCAGGTTCGTGTCCAACATATTCTCCAGCAACCGTTTCCTTGGGATACCGGAATATCGCACCGCGACTTGCACTCCAACAACGCAACAAAAATGATTAAACATGCAAAATCGAGCAAATAAACGGCTTCTACACGCACTTGTAATGATCTTCATCACCTGATGAAGAGTTGTGGCTAATATCTGGACCGAGTACTCACCAGCGTCGTATATGAGGCCATCGTCGCTTAGCTCTCCAAGAAGCTTGCTGAAAAAGACACAATAAGCACAAAACCGCTGAAGGAGCCGCGCTCACCGAATCTCTGCTGTTCCCAGAACTCCCTGGAACTTAGCAGCCATCTCTCCAACCTGAACCAGCGGACCATGCAGCGAATTAGCTGTCAAGCGCACAACGAAAGAGAGGTTTTCTACGATCAACCGAATACTCTCACCGTCTGGTACCGACCAGAACTGGCGAGCAACTCACACAAAACGCGTTGCCGGCGTTCTGAAATGAGCGCTTAAGGAGCGACTTCATTACCGAGTATCCGAAATCAGTCGACTTCGACCCAGCCTTAATGAATTCCAGAAGTTGCTCACGCTTGTCAGCATGACTGTTAGCGGCGCCAGATTGATTCTCGCTTGCAGGAAAAGGCATCGATGATGATGGGTTGCTGCACGCGAGTCAGAAAATATCAAACCTCTATAATATCATAGCGCTCAGGTCACTCACGCGCTGGCCACTTCAACCCCGGCCTGGGATATCCCTCCGAACGAGAGTCTTTTGCCATCAGCCGAGACAGGTGCAATTTCCCCAGTGTTGGCGATGTACGCATGGGCAATAGCTGCAATATGACCTGCGAGAACGTTTAGACCAGCTGAATGCCTATTCGCAATCATATGGACTACGTACAGGGTATCTCATTCAAGTCATCTACCGGCAGAACCTTCAGAGCCGAGATATATGGATTGCTCCCGCCCCGAATAGCTCCGATCACACGAACATAAGGCTGCCCATGAATATGGAACCTCCCGACACAAAATATACGAGTCCAACCGAATCTAGCGGTGCATTACTTCCCGTTCTTGAGAATTTCGTTCACTTTATCTCTACCAGTGGTATCGGACTCCTCTGGGACAAGAGAATATCACGAGCGCGAGGTAAGTTCAGCTCACCGAGATACATCTTGCATCGAACACTCCCCGTGAAGTCATC